TGGCTGAGCAGAGGAAAGTGATGGGGGCCTGAGGGCTGCTGGCAGAGGAGCAGGTGCCAGCCCGGGGGGCAGGTGGCAGGGACCCAGCCTAGGGCAGAAGCCACAGCCAGGCACTGGCACCCACCGCTGTGGGGCTGGGCAGTGTCTGCCCCCCCGGAGAGCAGCGTTGGCTGCCCAGCGCTGGTGCCCGTGCAGGGGAGTGGGGCCAGCAGGGCACCCCCCGGCCATGCTGGGCACCGACTATTTATTACTCTAAGTTATTTATTTATTGGTCTCAAGCGGCGGCTCCTATTTATGACATTGGGCCGGACGTGGGGGGGGGGGGGTTGATGTAAAGCTGCGGCTCTGAAGGCCTGGGCCTGTGGCCAGCAGTCCTGCCCCCCCCCCCTTTTATATTATTCTGACCCGTATTTGCATTTGTAAAGTTGGATAAACTCTATTTTTGTACAGTTGTATTTTTCTGTAGCAATAAAGTGATGGGCCATGTGGCTGAGTCTGCGCCTGGGGGGGGGACAAGGGAGGCTGCCACCCTGCCCCACACTGCTGCCCCTCTCCCACGCTCCCGCCGTCTAACTGGAGTCTGCCCCTGGCCTGTGACCTCATTTCAAGCCATCCCTCCTCAGGAGGCCCCTCTCGGTGCAGTCCCCTGGCCTTCCTGCCTCTGGGGTACACCTGTCCCCTCTGTGTGACTCCTGCACACCCCAGCGTGGGAACTCCCCCCACCTTCTGCTCTGCCCAGGGGCAACATCTGGGGCTGTCCCTCGTCTCCTCTCTGTCCTGGGCTCTGGCCTCTCCCCTGGGCAGAGCAGGACCCACACTCCTCCGGGCAGGGGGCTTGGCTGCTGTTTCCTAATGGAGGGAGGAGCAGCTGCTGGGCCGTGGTCCAGCCGGTGGGGATGGGGATTTCCTCATGAAGGCAGGTACAGCCTCACTGCAGCTGCCATGTCCTCACGGCGCTGGAGCGGGAGAGCCGGAGTTGGGCAGGTAGCAGGTAACCCAGCCAGGCCCTGCACCAGCTTTGGAGTCAAATGCAATTCAGCCATGGTGCTTAGGCGGGGCACGAAGGCGGCTCTGCCAGGGGCACTGAAAACAGGCTGCTACTGTCTGGCCCAGGGGTCGGCAACCTTTCAGAAGTGCTGGGCTGAGTCTTCATTTAGTCACCTGATTTAAGGTTTCGCGTGCCAGTCATACATTTTAACGTTTTTAGAAGGTCTCTTTCTCTAAGTCTAGAATATATAACTAAACTATTGTTGTATGCAAAGTAAATAAGGTTTTTAAAATGTTTAAGAAGCTTCATTTAAAATTAAATTAAAATGCAGAGCCCCCGGACCGGTGGCCAGGACCCGGGCAGTGCGAGTGCCACTGAAAATCAGCTTGTGTGCCGCCTTCGGCACCTGTGCCATAGGTTGCCTACCCCTGGTCTGGCCAGAGAGGCCAGGGGCCAGGCCATGCTGAGGGGTGGGGTTCCAGGCAGCTCTGCCCCTGCCTTGCAAAAGAGAACTGTGCTGTACAGACACAGGATGGCCAGGGAGGGGGACTGACTAATTCACCTGTGGAACTCTCTGCCCCTGGATAGGTGGCAGGCCAAGAGCTCAGCAGCATTCCTGAATAGAACAGCATTTCTATGGAAAATGGCAACCGGCGTCACAGATCCATGCTCCTGGGCATGAATCCATCAGTGACTGATGGGGTCAGGGACACGTTCCCCATGTGTGTGTGTGTGGGGGGGCAGGCGCAGGGGGGTCCTACCCCACCCTCAGGAACATGCAGCGATCGTCCCATGAGAGCCAGCAGGCTGACCCCTGACCCTCGCCCCATGTACACCCAGCACAGTCCTCCAGTGACCCCCTGTGACGGTGCTGCCCGTGGGAGCCAGTTGAGGTCACCCAATCAGGGTGAACTGCAAAGAAAAAGGGGCAGACAAACCCCAAACGCTGGTGGATATTCCAGTACTTAGATTTACCAACCAGCCCAAAACAGCTTCTTGTAGAACCTCACTGGTTACTAAGGCTTGGTCTAC